TTTTTTTTTCTGCCCCATATGTCTATTCTAGAGACATTTTGTTACACCTTTACTTAGTGATTATTTTGCCTTATGTCTGTTCTAGAGACAAGTTACAGCTTTTTGATAAAGCTCTAATTGGTTTTCTTTTGGAAATATGTTTCAAATTCACACTGAATGCATTTATGACTGTAAAGCATGTCTGTGTGTGTCAAAATCGTGATTAAAATCGAAATCGCAATGGTTTTTTTTGTCCATATCGCACAGCCCTACTCAGAACCTATTCATTTTTAATCCTTAAATTTTAGACACATGAGATAATGAATATATCATTGCTCTAGAAATGTCATAATTAAGGAAATTAAACATCTCAAAGGACATAATGAAATGTGTCTACTCAAGCAGTTATTCTTATAAGAAACATCAAACTTAACGAAAAAAAAACAACTATTCAAGACACATTGCTATAGCATTTATCATCAACACTAACATAGCATGAAAACTAATGTTTTCTGTTATATTAAGCACAAACTAAGAAAAGTAAAACAAACTTTTAACTAGGGGTGGGCGATATACTGGTAGACATGATTAACCGGTAGAAATTTGTCAACCGGTAGAGATTTTGGACTATCGCCTCTATCGCAGTTACACGCTCACGTGACGTTGGTGTGCTACGTGGTTACGAAAACGTAGCGTTTGCACACATTTTTAAGCATTGCGGTTAAAAAACAAGTGATTTTAAGCCGTTGAAACGCTATCAGTAGCGAAAGAGAACTCATTTCGCTATTTGCGCATGCTGTCTGAGAGGCACGTGAACACGGTGCTCATAGAGCGCTGGAGTAGAGTTATATTTGCCTCTTTATAGGCCTTGAACGGTTAAATTTAGGTCTTAAGTGAAAGCAAACAGCTGAGAAAGAAAACACATGTGTAACAGTATATTGGATCCGGGCAGCTCTTAAAGTGACAGCAGTCAATTTTCCTGCTATCTGTCATTCATTAAAAAATGGGTGGGATTTGTCTCTACTAACTTTGCACATCTAGACTTTGCAATATTTGCCCACTATTCTTTGTAGAACTGCTCAAGTTCAGTTAAATTTGATTGTGAGCATTTGATGGTATTTTGCCCCACCCATTTTTCCTTCTATCCTGACAAGTCCCCCAGTCCCTGCTGCAGAGAAACCCCCCATAACAGAATATTACCTCCTCCATGCTTTACTGTAGGAATGCTGTTATTTGGATGGCAAGCTGTATTGGATTTCCGCCAGACATATCGTTTGGTGCTGAAGCCAAATAATTCAATTTTAGTCTCATCTGCCTCAGAATATTCAAGGTGAGTTTTGGCAAAGCTCAGTCATGACTGCATGTGGCCTTTTTTGAGGAGCGGCTTTTTTCTTGCAACCCTCCCATACGAGCCACATTTGTGGAGAATTTGTGATATTGTTGTGCCTGTCCACAACTTTATCCCAGAGGTCTTTTGACAGTGCCTTGCCACCCATAGTTGATTGATTGTTTGCTTCAGTTGCACTACCAACGAGTGAAATGCTCCAGGAAAGCTCTTTTCATGCTGAGCTAATCAAAATGACCACAGCTGATCACAGTTAAAAGTCAAATGGCTTTGTGTGCCATTGAGAACGTGATTAGCTACACCTGATTGAGTTTACAAGTCAATTTTAGAAGAGGTGATCCTTTTTCCATCCTTTTTTTTATAAATTTTTTTCTGACGTGTTGGTGTTAAATCTTTAACTTGGATTTTATTTAAGTTGCACTGAGTAAATACAGCTGGATAAAACAAAAACTGTGTCCGTCTTCATTTCAGGCTGCAAAGCAACAAAATGTGATTATTTTAAAGGGGGGTGATTCTCTTCTATAACCACTGTATATATCGTTACCATGAAATAAAATTACTTATATCGTGATATAAGATTTTGGTCATTTCGCCCACTGCTGCTGGACTAAGCGTGCTCATTCTTGCGTGTACATATAATTTTATTTTCACCACCTGCAAACTCACAAGGAGCTCATAAAAGGCACTTTACCTCATCGTTGCTCCACGTTTGCCCTCTGCTCATTTTGTTTTGGTTACACCGCGTCGTCAAATCATGTCGCATAGCGTCGCATCTTGTCATTACTTCCTGTTTTTGGTTCGTTTAGAAGTATTTGGTCCATGTTGCATTCATATATCATGCAAACCTTGTTTGGTACGCACCAGGGTTTCGATGGCAGCGTTCACACATGCTCAAACGAACCGCACTAACAGAGTAATCGCACCAGGGTTCGTTTCAATCAAACCAAACATGACAAGTGTGAACGCACCCTTAATGTTTCAATAATTAAATAAAAGCACTGGTGTTGTCCACTGTGTTGTCTTTGGTGGGGCGGGAGCAGCTGTGGGATCGCGGGTAGACCATATCTAATAGTATACTGCGTGTTTTTTCTTTTCTTTTCCTGCACAGCAAATAAATACTATTAAATATTATCGTGACTCGCCAGTCGTTAAGTGTGTAGTGTTGGACTGACTCAGTCATTAGGTTTGTGCTCCTCTCTGACTGTCAAAGATGAGAATCTGTTCCAGTCGATGGAAACAGTCTTTAGGTGTGTTGAGGCAGGGCTCCAGACAAAAAAAATTGAGTAAGGAGCCATTGGCTTCTATAAGAAAAAAACTTAGGTGCCAAATTATTTTTTTAGGTGCCACAGAATAAACGTGTTTTATTTATTTTATTATTATTATTATTATTATTTTACATTTTAACATTTCAATCATACTGTCATGTAGGGCTGCAACTAACGATTATTTTGATAATCGATTAGTTGACCGATTATTTTTCCGATTAATCGGATCTTCTCATTTCTTTCTTTTTTTTGACAAAAAACACTTCCACATTCTGCCCAATGTCCTTTAAACAAACGTGTCAACTGAATGCTATGAAAATAGTGCTTAACAATTTATTAGACACACATCATAATAAAGATAAAACACAAATATTTTAGGAATCTGTCAAAAAAATTGTTTAAATCTAAAAATGTTATTGTCATTTATTGGGCAAATATCAAACTAAGTAGGCTAGTATTTATTCACATATTAACAAGAATGTCCTCCTATGCCTTCCATAACAGCTTGCATTCTTGCTGGCATTGCTTAGGTACTTTTTGACTGTAATTGGGTATCTGAGAGCTTGACTATTTTTTTTTTCTGCCTTTTTTCATAGATAACAGCAATAATTATATTATAGCATAGAAATAGTCAACTACTGTTACTAAAGAGCTTATGCACATTGGAGGACTTGCCAATACAGAAAGCTAAAAAATGATTATAATCACCAATACTGTTAGTTTAGAGCAGCAGTGGCACAAACCTTACATAAATTTGTTTTAAAAAAAATTGTTAAGCACTGTATTTGAATATAGTTTAAATCTCTACATTAAAAATTAAAATAATAATAAATATAATAAGGACGAATAAAAACAAACTCAGTATGTTAACCAACAGGTAAGAGTAATGTTCTGCAGGAACACGCGTCCACTTTGATCACATGTCATTTCTTTATCCTGTAAAAGGCGACTATGAAGCATCTGATATTTATATTCAGAATTACACGCTGTATCCCTTTACAGTTCCTACTCTCATAAAATACGTGCACTACATGTTGACTTTTAAACCAAATTTAAAAACCTTATTTATACCTTTTAAATATCAACAACAGATATACAAAGCATTTTCTGAATTACTGGATGGCAAGTGTGCTTCAAATAATATGAAGTTCATGCATTAACAGAACACAGCATACACTAAGATCTTGATAAGAAGAAGCCATATTAGTAATGATTATAAACGAGAATTGTTAACGATATTTCACACAGCTGGCAGCTTTGCCTGTTGTGGTTTGTTCAAGTTGTGCACGAAATAGACGCTGCTTTTCTCCCCTTTTCTCGTCTTTGCACGTCTCCGTCATTTCGATCTCTCTCGCGCTGCACAATAGGGATGGGCGATAGTATCGATATTTTTGTTTGAGTATCGATACTTTCGATACTCGCGTCAGTATCGATATATCGATACTTTGTATCGATACGCCCATCCCTACTGCACAACTGAGCTGCGTTTAGCAGGTGTGCGACAATGCTGCTGTGCGGCAGAGATGAGGACAGAAAGAAACTCTTTTTTCCACTAAAACTTTGATGCGCACGCATCGTCTCAGTTTAATACGTGAACATAACAAAAGATGTGATCGCAAAACAATCAGGAAAAAACGGCATTACATGCAAATTTTTAAGTTATAACATGTAAATATATATAGTCGCCAATGGCGACTTCAGCAAAAACTTCACTCGCATATTAATATTTTTGTCGCAAATGCGACCGTTTTAGTCACAGTCTGGAGCCCTGTGAGGTCAATCTTAGAATGTTTCTGCTAGTCGCGTAGTGTGTCCTCAGCTTAAGAGTGAGTTCGTGAAATTGAATTTTTATTTTTGGGTGAACTATTAACTGTGTGAAATGAATGTAAGGGTGTTAAACATCATTACACTCACAAATTAGCACGTTAGCATTCACAGAGTGCTACATACTGACGTATGCCATGTATGTAGCGGTGAAGGTGGGCAAAGGCCATTTGTGTTGGCACAAAGTTCCTCTGGGCACGGGTTCAAAGCAGCCGCTTTTACAGGACCTGCAACTGCTTTAGAGCTTTTACTTCATTCATTCAGAATAAAACACAGATAAATGAAGTGGAGCGAGGAATGCGAAACCGCTCCATGCCGAACGCACAAGTGAATGTGCAGCTATGACGTGATGGGAAACTTGGAGGCTGAAACTTAAGATTGTGTTGAAAAAGACTCTAGAGTCCATAGTCAGAAAAGACAAAAAAAAACTCACCATTTCCTTTGTATGTTAAACACACAGACCTCAAGGACATACAATTCAGCTCTGAGCAGTGTGACGAAAGGCTGAGCCACAACATAAACTCACCGAAGGAAATGCAACATCTTACCACAGAGAACAGAGTTTACATGAGCCGAGAAAGAGAAGATACTTCCACATACAGGCTAAACAATAAGGATTTTCTTTGCTGGACCAGTTTCAGACCAGTAGTTCAGATTTGTAATAGTCCTGCCAACATTTTAAAATTGTTTTCTTGACCAAAAAACCAAAACAATTTAAAACAAATAATTAGTTAGTTTTCTACTTTGGACTACTAGTCTGCAATTACAGCTACAAATTAATTAACTTTATTAATTTCAACACATAACTGATAACTGACTATCACAAGTTATTTCTGCAATTTGGACAGCTAAATTTATTATATATTCATTTATTTTTATTGCCATATCAGCAACAATGGCTGTATTCATGGAAAGATCAAAGTATTAAAAACAAATAGGCTTTTTACAGTTTGATATTTACTGAATAAACACATTTAAGTCTTAAGTGTGGCCAACTACACGTTCAAAGTTTGAGGTCAGTAAGCTTTTTTGTTATTGAAAACAAATGATATATATACATACAGTATATATATATATATATATACATACATACAGTATATATATATACATACACACATACATATTTTCATTCAGCGAGGACGCATTCAATTGATCAAAAGTGACAGTAAAGATATGAATAATGTTACAAAGGATTCCTATTCTGAATAAATGCTGTTCTTTTGAACTTTTTATTCATCAAAGTGTGATGGTTTCCACAAAGATATTAAGCAGCACAACTGATTTCAACATTGATAATACTAAGATATGTTTTTTGAGCACCAAGTCAACATATTAAATTGATTTCTGACAGATCATGTAACACTGAAGACTGGAGTAATGATGCTGAAAATTCAGCTTTGCATCACAGGAGTTAATTACATTTTTTAAAATATTCAAACAGAAAGCCATTACTTAGAACTGTAATACTTTTTCACAATACTAATGTTTTTACAGCATGTTTAATCAAATAAAGGCCACCTTGGTGAGCATATGAGACTTTAAAAAAATTTTAACAATCTTACTGACCCCGAAATTTTGAAAATTAGATAATGTTAATTCTGGCCCTATTTACACTTACTTCATGCACCTCAATTAATATTCAATATTTTAAAATATCACAGAAAACCAAATATTTAAGCAAGGCATAAAAACACACATCATCAACAAACTTAGGTTACTATAGTAACAATGCAGCACTGGCCGGATAACCACCAGCTACAAAATTCTCTCACACTACATCCTTCATATAGATTAGAATATAACAGCGTGAACGACGTCTTATCCCTAAAAATAATCTATGAGATTCAGTGAGAAAATCAAAAGATGCAAGAATGAGACATACAGTCTTTGAGAAATGCGGGCTGACAGGGCAGAACGACTGTAGTGGTTAAACTGTGACTCTGTGTCGTCTGTACCCGGGGGCATCAGTGCCAAGGGCCATCAGAGCTCATATCGAAGCCTGGGAAAGAGGTCACTGCCACTGCTGCGCCTGCTCAGGAACAGGCCATGAAATATGTAATACCGCAGTATATTTACCACAAACCCAGCTAAAAGTTATTTCTTGACCAACAATCTATATTTGAAAACCGGTACTGTACCATTTAATTTGCTAATGACAAACAGCAAAAATGCATATTATAAAAGGGATTTCATCTTGATAGTTCTTGATAAGTATTGCTGATATTAGGGCTGAACGATTAATTGCATTTGCGATAATATCGCGATATGAAAAATTTTGATTTTTCAATCGCAGAGGCTGCGATTACACGGTCACGTGACAGGCGAGAGTAAAGAGGTGTGTTCGACTTGAAGATCAGGGCCCGGTTCCCCAAAACGTTCTTATCGCTAAGTAGTTCTTAACCTATTCCTTAACCTCTCTCTTAACGTTATGGCACGATTCCCGACACGTTCGTACGCTAAGTATATCTTCTGTAAGTCACACTTTCGTAAGGTTGGTCTGGACCATTCGTAAGCTCTCTCTTAGCGTTGTTTGAGCTCAAGACGCTAGTCGCCGCCACTGTGCAGCAGTCTTTAGAAATCAGCGCAGCGCAGTACAAGTCAAACTATGGTATGTTGACAATGTTGTGGCTCAACAATGATTTTATGTTATGGACATTTTAAGACTAATAATAAAATATGTTCGCAATGGATACAGGCCTATTTATGAAGTTGACTTTATTTGGTATCAGAACTAATATGGTGGTAATTAGCCTAGGCTATTTCGTAATGTCATTAAAGCGTTCAAATTGGCAATCACTTTTGATAATTAAAATCTGGCAAACAATTTGGCTCTAAATGGCTAAGATCTATAAATGGGTAAGCATGGTGGTGTCCAGTAAGCGACCAACTATGGCAGCGATCCAACGTGTCCTTGTATTGAATCAAAGACGGCGCCGGCCGCGGAGCCGTTTAGTCCATGTCAATTTTTTTATTCGGCAAAACTTAAGCCCTTTTGACATTTTGCCTGACGTGGCTATATTACAAAAATTTCGCCTCCCAAGACAACTCATTATGGAGCTGCTGGACCTTCTCAGACCTGCGCTTGCCAGGCTAACGCGGCGGAATTTTGCTTTAAGCCCTGAAGTCCAGCTGCTTGCAGCGCTAAGGTTTTTTGCTACAGGGAGCTTCATCGAGGTCGTGGGAGAGGGCTACGGCCTAAGCAAGACCTCGGTGTGGAGGTGCATCCACACTGTCACCAACGCCCTTCTGCGCCATGCCGGGGATTACATCCGGCTGCCGGCAACACGTCAGGAGGTCCAGGAGGTGCACCAGGGCTGTCATGCCATTGCTGGCATCCCCAGAGTCTTGGGCCTGGTGAATGGCACACTCATCCCTATCGCCAATCCATCAGTGATTGATCAGGCGTACATATCGCCAAAGGGATACGCGGCCATAAACGTGCAGGTTATAGTGGACCATAGGGGTGTGATCTCCGACCTGGTGGCAAGGTGGCCAGGCAGCACCCACGACAGTTTTGTCTGGGCCAATTCTGCCGTGGGTGAACAAGCGGAGAGAGAGGGGTTTGGTCAGAGCCTGTTCCTCGGGGATAGTGGATACCCTCTGAGAACATACTTATTCACACCGCTGACCAACCCACAGACTCGGGCTGAAAGAGCCTACAATTTTGCACACGTTCGCACGCGCAACGTTGTCGAGTGCCTGCACAAGTCGGCAGGAGGACTGCGCATGAAGCCTCACAGCTCTTGCGCAGTTACGGTGGCAACGGCCATACTCCATAACATGGCTGTGCGTGGAGGCGCACCTATTCCGGAGGGGGAGGAGGAGGAGGAGGAGGTGGAAGCAGATGAGGAGGAAGATGGAGAGGGAGAAGTTGAATTCATTCAGAATAAAACACAGATAAATGAAGTGGAGCGAGGAATGCGAAACCGCTCCATGCCGAACGCACAAGTGAATGTGCAGCTATGACGTGATGGGAAACTTGGAGGCTGAAACTTAAGATTGTGTTGAAAAAGACTCTAGAGTCCATAGTCAGAAAAGACAAAAAAACTCACCATTTCCTTTGTATGTTAAACACACAGACCTCAAGGACATACAATTCAGCTCTGAGCAGTGTGACGAAAGGCTGAGCCACAACATAAACTCACCGAAGGAAATGCAACATCTTACCACAGAGAACAGAGTTTACATGAGCCGAGAAAGAGAAGATACTTCCACATACAGGCTAAACAATAAGGATTTTCTTTGCTGGACCAGTTTCAGACCAGTAGTTCAGATTTGTAATAGTCCTGCCAACATTTTAAAATTGTTTTCTTGACCAAAAAACCAAAACAATTTAAAACAAATAATTAGTTAGTTTTCTACTTTGGACTACTAGTCTGCAATTACAGCTACAAATTAATTAACTTTATTAATTTCAACACATAACTGATAACTGACTATCACAAGTTATTTCTGCAATTTGGACAGCTAAATTTATTATATATTCATTTATTTTTATTGCCATATCAGCAACAATGGCTGTATTCATGGAAAGATCAAAGTATTAAAAACAAATAGGCTTTTTACAGTTTGATATTTACTGAATAAACACATTTAAGTCTTAAGTGTGGCCAACTACACGTTCAAAGTTTGAGGTCAGTAAGCTTTTTTGTTATTGAAAACAAATGATATATATACATACAGTATATATATATATATATATACATACATACAGTATATATATATACATACACACATACATATTTTCATTCAGCGAGGACGCATTCAATTGATCAAAAGTGACAGTAAAGATATGAATAATGTTACAAAGGATTCCTATTCTGAATAAATGCTGTTCTTTTGAACTTTTTATTCATCAAAGTGTGATGGTTTCCACAAAGATATTAAGCAGCACAACTGATTTCAACATTGATAATACTAAGATATGTTTTTTGAGCACCAAGTCAACATATTAAATTGATTTCTGACAGATCATGTAACACTGAAGACTGGAGTAATGATGCTGAAAATTCAGCTTTGCATCACAGGAGTTAATTACATTTTTTAAAATATTCAAACAGAAAGCCATTACTTAGAACTGTAATACTTTTTCACAATACTAATGTTTTTACAGCATGTTTAATCAAATAAAGGCCACCTTGGTGAGCATATGAGACTTTAAAAAAATTTTAACAATCTTACTGACCCCGAAATTTTGAAAATTAGATAATGTTAATTCTGGCCCTATTTACACTTACTTCATGCACCTCAATTAATATTCAATATTTTAAAATATCACAGAAAACCAAATATTTAAGCAAGGCATAAAAACACACATCATCAACAAACTTAGGTTACTATAGTAACAATGCAGCACTGGCCGGATAACCACCAGCTACAAAATTCTCTCACACTACATCCTTCATATAGATTAGAATATAACAGCGTGAACGACGTCTTATCCCTAAAAATAATCTATGAGATTCAGTGAGAAAATCAAAAGATGCAAGAATGAGACATACAGTCTTTGAGAAATGCGGGCTGACAGGGCAGAACGACTGTAGTGGTTAAACTGTGACTCTGTGTCGTCTGTACCCGGGGGCATCAGTGCCAAGGGCCATCAGAGCTCATATCGAAGCCTGGGAAAGAGGTCACTGCCACTGCTGCGCCTGCTCAGGAACAGGCCATGAAATATGTAATACCGCAGTATATTTACCACAAACCCAGCTAAAAGTTATTTCTTGACCAACAATCTATATTTGAAAACCGGTACTGTACCATTTAATTTGCTAATGACAAACAGCAAAAATGCATATTATAAAAGGGATTTCATCTTGATAGTTCTTGATAAGTATTGCTGATATTAGGGCTGAACGATTAATTGCATTTGCGATAATATCGCGATATGAAAAATTTTGATTTTTCAATCGCAGAGGCTGCGATTACACGGTCACGTGACAGGCGAGAGTAAAGAGGTGGTGTGTTGGTCATACTATACAATGATTTATAGCTTGTCTTGAATGAATAATACACAACATAAAGAGCTTTAAAAAAAGAATTGCATATTAAATCGCAATCGCAATATTGGTAAAAAAAATCGCAATTAGATTATTTTCCAAAATCGTTCAGCCCTAGCTGATATTATCAGTAAAAATTAATAATGAAGCAAAGACTTTAATTGCAACTGAACCTGCCAACAAGAACACTGTTGGTAGCCTTAAAAATACTACTTAATTGACACTGTATTGTAAACAAGACAATCTAGATTCTATATTGTCAGAAAATTAGAAAGGTTTTATTTTAGTTTAGTGCATCAGCATTGTTGCAGAAATTTTTTAAACACAGACATCATCTCTAAATCCCTCTACAAAACAACTTTGACAAAAAAATTGGTCAATTGTGTCCACTTGGCCAATCATTAGGGCCTTTCGCACCGCGAGAACCTTTTCATAGTACCAGAACTAATTGTGGAACTACCCACTTTTTGGCGGTTTCGCACCGCCGGAACTGGGTGCGATGTTAGTACCGGACTGCCTTTTTCGAGAACCAAATTAGCTCCTACTCCGGAGCAGGGTCTAACCAGCACAACTGGTACTAATCGTGACGTAAGTAGACATTGATTGGCCAAACGCGTACGAAAACGCCCTCACCCGCCATGATTTAAATGCCGTGTAAACATACTGTAAACATTGTGTCAACTTATTTCGCAAGTATGGAGAACAGCGATAGATGGACGGACACTGAAGTGCAGGCACTTGTAGCAAATGTAGCACTGGCAGTTGTCGTTGGAGATTCTTAGTCCTCCTTTCCGTTCTTTCAATCGCTTTACGTATACGTCGACTTTCCATGTCCATTATTGTGAAACCCGCGAGACACAACAAAAACACAGCTCCGATCACAGCGTCCTCCATCCTCCTGTTGTTCTTTGTTTCTGTTGTTGAACGCCGCGCACAAATGACGACGCTGTCGACCGGCTTACATCACTTAGTACACACTCTCGGTGCGAATGCAACCCTTTAAATGGTACTGGGAAATAGTTCGCGCAAAATCTTTAGTACTGTACATTTAGTTCTGGAACTAAAGCGGTGCGAAAGGCCCTATTATTAGTTGTAGTTCCCCATAGCGCAGTTTCCACCTCTGATTATGCACGGTTTCAGTTTTCAAATGTGAACTTCTAAGTAAAAACTGCATAATCATATCATAATCTAGATATCAGCTTTTGAAAAAAAAAATAAAACTCTTGTATTTTCCCCCAGATTTACAACTTTAATATTTAATCTTTGTAATTTATACAGTCATGCAGCACAGTGTTTGCTCTTAAAATTGCACAGGTTTTAGTACATTACAGAAAGTTTGATGTAAATCTGTGATCGACTCGCAAAAGCCCTGCAGAACTCCGGTACGTCTTAAACATCATCAAATGAGCACCATTTCAAACTTTGAGTTCACTTTGTTCCTTTGTCTCATTTGTTAAGATCTAAAGTTTTCTTTGAGCTTGAAGCCCAGACACCGACCTAAGGTGAGAACTATTTAAAACAGAATCACTGCACAGAACGAAGACAAAAGAAATACATAGCTACCAATCTGCGATCAGTGTCACATTTTCAAAATGGACAAGAACTGAAGCGGAGACGATTATGCCACTCAAATGCCTGCCAGTCTTGATGATTCAGGGTAACGGTAGGGCTGCTACAGGGCTCAATAGTTGACGTGAATGAAATATTAGTTCTCTATTTAAAACATCCAGAAGCTTAAAGGAACAGTCCATTAAAAAAAATGTAATTTCTGTTAGTCAAATTCTGACTTAGGTGAAACACAAAAGGAAATGTTTAGCAGAATGTCCACACTGCTCTTTTCCATACAATTAAAGCAACTGGATGGGAACATTTTCAGCGAATAAGGAGTTTTGATCTGTTCCTCACACAAAGCTATTGTATGACTTCAAAAGTCTTGGAATATAGGGGTGTATGGACTTACTTTTAGTACTCCATGGTCATGTTTTATCCTTTTTTACCGGTCACTATTTAAGTTTCCATTAAAATCTTTCTTGCAGGAAAATGTTTAGTGTATCAAAATGTCTACTGATATTAGAGCTGTCAAAATGGCTGAAAAACTAAATTCGAATTTTGTACTTAAGTATGATCAAAATTCTAATTATATTCGAATTTAAAATGCATAATTTCAGTTAGGGTGAAGAAAAGCTTTTGGCTTCTCTTCTGAGGCCACAAGAGGGCGCATCGAGCAAAATATTACTAATGCACGTTTATTCAAAGCAGAAGATAAAATTACATTTTTGTAATCGGTGTATATCTGTGAAAAACCCGCCATAAAGTCTCGTTTATATGAGACTTTAAAAAATATGTTTTTTTCAAAGTTAAACTTGCATTAATTTTACATGGCTTTCTAAACATGCGGCTCCGTTGTGCGAGATGCGAGTGCAATGGTAATAGATGTCCCTCTAGAAAATGTGCGAAATATGTGTTCTGTGTGAATGGCTTGGTTTCAGTTTTGAAGTTCTTCTCCGCATTGATGTTCCCTTTTTCCGCAATATTTTTAATTAACAACGCAAGACGCCGCATCTAGTGGCTTCAACTGGATAGGCTAACAAAAACATTATAATGCAACGACACTTACATCGTCATCGCAACTCGTGCGCCACTGATAAGGCTGCCTCCTTAACGCACACCTAAAATTCGAATACAACGTTTTTGCATTCGAATGTGGATTTTTATTTTAAATTCGACGAATATTCGAAATTCGAATATTTTTTGACAGTCCTAACTGATATAGCTGATTTACGCACATTTAAGCACTATTCTAGATGTTCAAGGGTGCGTTAAATCTATTCTGACTGCATACACAGTGAAATGGCCCACCCAACAAAAAAAAACTTACACAAAGCTTTAACAAAAAGGATAACAATCAGATGACTTCATTGCAAACACCATTTTATCGTTAAAAATCAATTGGATGGAAACAGGTTGAATACAGCAAATTTTGCAAACAATTATTTTTTTTTTTTTTTACACGTTTTCATATTGTTAATAACAGAACAGCATAAAAAGTGGATGGAAACTTAGCTGGTACTTTTGTTGCACGGGAAAAAAACATGCATAAATGTTCTGCGTAACCTGTTGTGTTTCACAGAAGAATCATTGGGTTAGCAACAAGAGGGTGAGTAAATTTAAGACTTCAACGTCTGAAACTAGTGGTCGACCGATATGGTTTTTTTGACAGCCGATGCCGATATCTTGGAAAGCAGGGTGGCCGATGGCCGATATCATTTTATTTATTTTAATTCATATTTAAGAAATTTGAAATTATTTGAAAATGGATTAAAAAAAAATTTGTAAAATAAACATACTTATACTCTAGAAGACAAATTATTTTTCACAAATAAATAAATATTTAATAAAAA